AACTAGAAGAACAAAACATTTTTCAAATTTAAGTATTGTAACAAAAAGCCCATTTGTGTGGGTGATTGAGGTAATTAATTGATATTTACATTGACATTTTTAAGACTCGTTTAAAAACTTAGTTTTTCTCACTGGCCTTCAACCCAACTGAGATTTGATTTTACTCAACTTTTACTGTATTGGTGCTGATTTTACTTATTTAACTGTGTGATTTTATTGTGTTTTTGTATTCAGTTTTTATTTTTTGTGTTCAGCACTTTGTTTCAGCAGTGGCTGATATTATAGCGCTTTATAAATAAAGTTTGATTGATTGATTGATTGATTGATTTATTCATCCTAGTCCTGTAAGCCTGTCTTGCACTGGCAAAGATTAGCTAGCCACTGAGTTACAACAGGAAGTTTTAACTATTAGCCTTTGTTTTCAGACTTTGTTTTCAGACTTTTAAACTGTTTATTCTTAGTCATTCCAGAACATTACAAGTCTAAAAATTAAAATGCAAAATGTATTTTTTTTCTATTCAACTACAGTATCAGCCTTTTCAGAAAATGAATACAATTTTAAACTTAGGCATGTGAATTTTGTTTACTTTTATTATAATAAAGGATTTCTGCTTCGAGACGATGTGGCTCGAATTTATGGAGAAACTAAAATCTAAAAGAAGGACTAGACTCAACCTCGTTTTGCTCCTTGAGTTTGTTGCTGTTGCCGAAAGTGAAAATTTTCATTACCTGATGCATCTGAAAGGGAGTTAATGAGGTCAATTGTGAACCATAAAAACGGGAGCTTAAATATTTAATCGGGCTAAGTAATTAGCGTAGCTTTAGGGGAGGTTTTATAGCCTGAAGACGATGATAAAGATGAAGATAATAGCTGAATTTTATGGGTTGTAGAGAGCTCCAGAGTGACAAACATTAGATCTAATTCTCTGTTGGAGCTTGCAGCCTGCAGTCATCACTTCCAGCCGGTCCCACAGAAAACTGCAGCCGTTCTTAGCGAGGCTGTTGGGAAGAGTAATGGCTGTCACGTGAAACAAAGAGCTTCTGGAGGTAGAAACATTAAACTGTGGGTCAACACCCTTTTGTTGCTCAGTACGGCAGGTTTAAGACAAGCTGGAGCACGGCGAACACTTAACCTCTGTTTCACAACAGCACAGCTCTGACTTCACTCAGGGTTTATATCAGCTTAACACGGTTTGGAAACCCAGACGTGTCAGAAATCTGCAGCTGCTGATGGAAACAGGAGCTGCTGCTGAAGAGTCGGGAAGATGTTTCTGTGATGAAACAGTGTCAGACGGTGAGTCAGTGTTTCAGCTTGTAGTTTAGATGGCTGACTCCTGGCTGCACACATCACTGTTTCCTTAAGCTCCCTCTTAGTGGGAGAATAAGTACGAGGCGTGTACGGACACAAAACACACAAAACCAAAGCCTGAACGCACAATCAGCCCTTCGTTTACACAGCAGCTTGCATATGTAGCGCCAAGTGTAAATAAAACTATTATAAGTGTCATTAATACATTTTCACTATTTACCTCACTTTCTGAGGGTAAAATCATTGTTTAAAAATTCCACTAACATTTTGTTGTTCTGTAGCTCACTGTTCTTACATTTTGATTATTTCTACTAAATGTTAAAGTCTAAATCTAAATCTGTAAATCTAAATGTAAACATTAAATTTAAATGTTGTTTGAAGTTTACATTTAACCATTTCAGAATGGAACTCAGCCTTTAGTACAAAGTACAGTTTGTCTCAGGATGATGACGTCACAACAAAAGTAGTTACATCATCATCCTGAGACAAAC